ACCTCTTGTTGCCGGTTCCGTGCCAGCTTCTTCATGGGCCTATGGATGGTCCCTATTTGCCCAGGGGTTACCAAGAATGTCCACGCCAGCCAAAAATGCTCTTTCGTCTTCGCCTGGCCCCAAGGTACCAGAGTTGCTTCCAGCAGGTTGATATCCCAGCCCCTCTTCTCCAGGACTTAACTCCGCGCAGAAGAAGGGAAATCTTGGAGGGACTGCTTTGAGTCCTCCTCTCCCAAACCTCCACCCCAGCCCCCACCCTGGGTCCCCACCACTTACCAGGCTCTTGTAGATGAAACTGGACAACAAGAGGGCCGCCCCGGAACGAAAGTATTTCCGATAATCCTTGCGTGCCTACAAGGACAGGGAGTCAACGTGAGGGCAGACTGCGTCTGGAGGAAGGGGTTCTACTACCGTCCAACGACACAAAGAGCGGAGAAGGTAAAGGGCTGAGATGACAGCCACCCACCACTGAAGAGGACACAGAAGCAGAAGACAGAGCCCCACCTCCACACGTCTACACAAAGCCCCCAGACACACACACAGGGGGCTATGCCCTGGATGCAGCCAGAACTTGCTCCCTCGCAGCCCTAAAGGAGCCCTGGCAGGGGGTGAGGGGTGGGGCTAAGGAGCCACCGTGGAGAAGTTCTACCCCCTTCCCATTACCTTCCATCCTCTCACAAATGCCTGGATCAACAGTGCCGACGCCCTCATCTTCCCATAGCGCTTCTTTTGCTGCAAAGAACATTGGACCTGTGAGCAAACTCCCTGGCAGCCCTGCCCACCTCTCCCGCTGCACATCCTCCCCACTAGAGCGAGGGGGAGGGGCCTTGGCGGCGACAGGTACCCTGTTGCCTCGAAACCAGGAGGAGATAAGGATCTGACTCTTGCGCATCAGCTGGTAGTGGGTCCGGCAGCGCCAGCCTCGGTACGTCTTCTGGATCAGCGTGGCCAACTGTTGGATCTTAAGGCGCCGCTGTTCTTCCAGGAAGAAAAGCTGGGGAGAGGGGAGAGGGAGGCGGGGGGAGAGAGAAGCTGGGGAGCAGCACTCGCTCAGGACACCCCACAGAACCAGAGGCTTTCCGTCTGGGCTTCCTGGGTTCATTCTAGCATCTTGCTCGTTCATTCATGCATTCATTCGATCCTTCAACGAGCATCCATCTGTGTACCAGGCACTGTGCTAGGTGGGAGTGGGGGGTGGGAAGGAGGCGTGCCTCCAGGGAGTTCCATTTCAATGACAGAGGGCCAAGCAGGCACAGACTCAGGCGAGGGTGGGAAGCCCAGGCTTCAGGTCCAAGGAAAAAGCCCCTGCAGGGAGGGGACTTCCTCATCCACCATCCACTCCAGGTTAGAGAGGCTCCCCACCCCCACCCCCAGCCCACAGCCTCCTGCTCCTCCACCTTTCCACCTCACAAACGCAGGTGCGCTCTCCCACTCACTGTCCTGGGACTCCTGATGAAGATTTTTGTCTTCCCAAAGGCCACCTCCTCTGAGGCCACAGCCAGGTCCTCCAGGACCTTCTTGACCCCCGCCCTACAGGGAGCAGACAGGGAAAAGCTTGAGAAGGAGCTCCCAGAGAAAGATTCTTCTCCCTAGGCCTTTGCACGCTGGGGGACAGGGTTCAAGTCTCACCAAGGCCCCAAGCCCTCCAGAGAGAAATATAAGCTAATTCATTTCCCCAAGTATCTATTCAGCAAGCCCGTTCTGGGAGGTGTACACGGCACCTGCCTTCCCTGCCCCTCAGCCTCCCCGCGCGCCGAGTCTTACCGATCCCCCTCTTTCCAGGAAGGCCAGGTGCTCCGGCTCAGCATCCGGTATCTTTCCAGAAAGAGGCCGTACACCTGACGGTAGGCATAGCCTGCCCGTCGCACCCGTACATTCTCCAGCAGTCCCAGGTACTGAGACTGGGTGGCCACCAGCTCCCAGGAGAACTGACCACGCTGCTGATTCTCATTGGGCTTAATGCACCTGGGTGGGAGGTAGGTCAGGCATGAGCTTCCGGCTGGTGTGCCAAGCCCGGGCTCTGTCCCCCTATTCTGTCTACGTCCCCTTTAGTTGACACTTCAGAGGACAGGACACACTGGCCTTCCAAATGTCCTCCACTACTGATGCTACCCAAGCCGGGTGTTCTCCTCCTGTAGGAAAGGATCTCCGATCCTCTTATTCCAGAGAGCCCCCCTCTCCTCCGTGGACATGTTCTATAATCCATGAACTCGGTCTTCATGTGTGTAACATGCCCCCCCCCCCACCCGCCGGGTGCCCAGCATGTCACCTGATGTAGTTGGGGTTCTTGGCATACAAGTTCTTCATGAGTATGGCCACCGAGCTCTTGAACTGGGCCCCGGCAGTTGGAGGGCGTTTGAGAGAGGCCTGCTTAGGATCCCCCTCGGGGAATAAAGACCGAAGCAGGGTGTGCTGGGCTTTCCACATGACCTGGGACAGGTCTCGGAAGAGTAGGTCATTATTTTTGTCGATGAAGCTGGCCACATTGTATGTCACCTGTGGAGGATGGCTCTTGGTTTGGGAGTTCCTGGGCCTGTCCCAGCACCTGACCCTCCCCCCGTCCCCTGGGAAATTACTCCCACCGCTGCCATCCCCCAACTCCTTCTCCATGCCCTGGCTTCTCTTTGTCGCCCAGGGTGCCCGCATTACCTTGCCCGCATAGTGTGAGATGCGGAAGCAGCTGAGGCCCATGGTGTGGTCATACTGGCGCTGGGCATTCTGGGTGACCTTGCTCTCATAGTGGTCATGTTTGGAGAAGAGCTGGTTGAGCTTCGCCAGGAAGGTGGAGTCGCTGACCACGCCAGGCCGTAGACACTCCTCGTCTAACATGGCAAGGATGCCTCGCTGATTCTGGTCAGGGGAACAGAAGCAGCCCAGCCCAGAGCTGGTTCCCGGGACAGCTACACTCTCACTGCTGCCCCCACCCCCTTCTCAGTTTTTCCCTCATTACCAAGGGGCAAAGCGGGCTCTTCAGGCTACCTGGAAGGCGTGGTTTTAGAGGTACAAGGAAGGATAACTCACATGCTCAATGAGGTTGCAGATGATACCATTATCAAAGTAGTCCACCTTTCTCCAGGGGATGCCCTGGTGAGGGGAGATGCAACACATTGCAGGGAGCGAGTCCAAGACAAGTCTCTAGGGCTTCACCTGTGCCAACTGCCCCGTTCTACCACCCGACAGAGGACCATCAGGAAGCCCCGTCGTTTTGTCTTTTGGTATGATTTCTGTTCCCTTTGAGACTGGAAGAGAACTGTGAGGTGGGCAGACAGACCCAAGGGAGAACAATACTTGGAGTCCTGCAGGTGGGGTAAGGTGCAGAGGGGAGTGGAACATGTTGGGTGAGGACGGGGACAAAGGGTCACCCCACCGAGGGAGCAGAGAAGGATCCAAATGCATGGGGGAAACCAGTGGCCATGCTACTTTGCCAATATACCACAAAACCTGAGCCCCACCACACCCCTCCCCTGAGCAAGAAAGCATTGTCCAACATCAGAGCGAATTTGGCACATGGTCAAAGATCACCGTAAGTGATTCTCTCACGTAAGTGGGCATCACCATCTCCTTGGTGGGCTTGTTAAAACAGATTGGTCCCAAGCCCCAGAGTTTCTGATTCAGCGGTAGAGTGGGTCCTGGGAAGCTGCATTCCCAATACATTCCCAGGTGATGCTAATGCTGGGAGCCCAGGACCACACTCCGAGAAGCACTGATGTGCAGAAAACCTTTGAGATTGTGGAATAAGAAATAAATAAGTACACAAACAAAAAGCTCGCATGTGGTACAGAAGCAGAAGACCCTACCCTTCCAAGAAAGAAGAGAAGAAGAAGAGCCAGGCAATGGTCCCACCCTTGAGGGGTTTGCTGAGCTTAGGGCTGCAGGCAGAATGGCTCCTGAGCCCACCCCAGTCCCAAGGAGCAGCCCTCCCAGCCGAGGCCATTCCCAGGTGTATCTGAGGAGCACAAGCCTTTCTTCCCTCACAGGGTAGCATTTAGTCCAGTTGCCTTCTACTTCATCCCCCAAATAACTTCCCCAACGGGTTACGTGAGTTAGTCAGCATCTCTTTATAACCCCTATGCAGTATGTAGCTATGAAAAATAAATAAAATAAAAATCTTTAGCTACCGCCCCGGAAAGATCGCTCGCTCGGTAATGAAAACGAGGTGCAGAGCGGCGTGAATTTCCTGCATCTGTGGGAATACCGTCCTTGCCGATTTGCCTGTATGTAAACCAAGCCCCTCTGGGAGGAGGCTCTCCGGCGGCCTTGGTTGGGAAGGGGAACGAGGGCACTGGAGCAGGAGTGGGAGGGAGAGGCCACACTATGCACCCTCTTAAGCTTTTTAGAAATTTAAAGTATGGGTGTGCATACTCTATTTGACCTTTTTTTTTTTTCAATTAACCTTTGCATGACCCATGGGACATCTATCCCCCCCCCAACATCTGCAGCCTCTTGGGTTGCTTGGGAAGCTGCGACTCCAGTTGTCATAAAGGTAACTGGCTGCAGGGAGCTGTATAACCTTGGGAGGCCTGCATAACGGTCATACCTACCACCAGCACCTACTTGGGACACATATGTCCCACATCCTTCATCAAACGCTGCATCACCTCAGAAATGATTTTCCCCATGATTCCAACACATTGTCCTTTACTGAATCCATACATTGTCATTATTATTAGGGGCCATCGCGACCCTGTGCCATCCTCACAGTGGTTCCTGAGCCTGAGCCCACTCTTAGAGCCACCGTGTCAGCGCATAAAAGGCCTTCCTCTCTTGCCCGGCCCTCCACGTTACCAAGCACGATGACCTTCTCCAGGGACTGCTCTCTCCTGACAACACGGCCAAAGTGCAAACAGTTGAGATCCATGACACCCACGAAATATTCAAGGCAGAAAGGAATGCAGTCGTGTGAGGGTTAAAGCGTACAAAACAATAAGGACCCCGTTTCCACGCATTTCAATCACATTGTCCCAAATTCCGGCACTCGGGGTTCCCAAGAGCACGCGGGGGACAGTCCTGGGGGGGTTTGACGAGCGACTGGGAGGTTTTGACGAGCGAGACTCTGCCACACACTCTGGGCAGGCCTCACTCAATCAGAAGGCTCTTTCTGACACCCGGCCAGCGATAACAGGGGTTGTCACTGAGACCAGGGAGAAATGTGAAGAGTGTGAGCTGCAGGGCGCTTCTGGGAGGAGGCAGGGCATCAGAGGGCTGCCAGAGAGGAGGGCCCAGCTGCGAGAGTTCTGAGGTGTTAGAGAAGTGCAAAGGACGGGGTGTAGCAGAGTGCCAAGCCCAGGAGAAATGTCCCTTCTAAATTGGGTTCATAGTCTGCCCAAAGCCAAGCACGGCTGTCACTTCCTCCTTGTCAGGACTCCAAACACCACACACACACACACACACACACACACACACAACTGGCCCTTCTGGAGTGGGAGGCTGGGCTGGTGAGGAGGGCGGGAGACAGAGAGCAGAGAACGAGGGTCACTTGGCAATGCCGCAGTGCTCGGCAGTACTGTCTGGGGGCAAGTGTGTCCTTCGGGTTCCCACCTGGGGACACCCCCACGGGAGATTGGGATCAAGGAGAAAACCACGGCACCTGTTCTGCATAGGAAGGGGGAAACCGGCCGAAGATTGTGTTTACCTCTCTCGCATATTCCTCCTGCTCCTCTTTCAGGGTTATTTCTATGAATACCTGCTGCAGCTTCTCATTGCAGTAGTTGATCACAAACTGTTCAAAGCTATTATCCTGCGGGCGGTGCACAGGGTAAAGAGAGAGCAGCTCACCCCCAGACCTTTCCCCCCCTCTCCCATCTCCCTCTTGGAGCCTGCCCGCCTCTGTGGGTGTGTGCCCGGCCTGCCGGCTCTGGGTCACAGAGACCAGGGGAGAGCTCTGGGGCTGCCCGGCCTGGCATCTTGACTGGAACAGCTGGCTAGGGCTTCCTCCTGGAGAGACTCAGCTGGGTTTGCACCACACACCTTGTCTCAGCCCTCAAGCACTTAACCCTCGTGCCGCCACGGCTCCGTGGGCCGCCTCAACCACTAGGGAACTAGGATTCTGAGGTTGGCTGAAGCCTCCTTACCTGTAATATTTCAAAGCCGTAGATATCCAGGACGCCCATGACCTTCTTCTTCTCCCCGGTGCCCACCTGAGGAGGGAGGCAAGAGCAGTCTGAGGACAGGCCCTTCTGGGGAAGACCTGGCTGGAGCAGGAGGCAAACGGCCCCTGGTACCCTGGACCAGGCTGCTAAGGCACGAGTGTGATGTTTTTCCTCCTCCCGAGGCTGGAGACAAGCCCAGGGAGAGATGCCGAGGAGAAGGAAGATGCACACTCCTGCCAGAATTGTGCTCCCGTGGGACAAGGTAAGGTGTGAGTGTCCCCGAGTGGCGCCAACAATGAACACAAAGCTGCTAGCCGCCGCAAGGTCGGTGGTTCAAGTCCACCCAGAGGGGCATCGGGAGAAAGGGCTGACCATTGATCGCAGAAATTCTGTCACTGAAAACCCTACAAGCCACAGTGTCCCTTGGATATGCATGGGGTGGCCGGGAGCCAGAACCCACACAACAGCCGCTGGTTTGGCATTTGGGTCTGCTAAGAGGTAGAAAGGTACAAAAATCCGCTCAGGATAGTACCCCATCCTTCTATTGGCAGAGCCTTTCCCCCAAAAGAACGCTATCCCTATTTCCCTCATCCTTACCGTCACCCAGAACAAGGTCTGACTAGTCCCATGTTCCAGATGAAGAAAATCAGATCTCAGAATTCAGACGCCATTGGCCCTGCTGCCCTCGAGCAACCCACCCTAAATAAATGGCACCTTCGGGTGCATCATTTTAAAAAACAAGAAGCGCTTTATTGAGCTATAGTTCCTATGACATAAAATTCTCCCTTGTAACGTATACACAGCAGTGGGTTCCCTACAGTCAGAGCTCTGTAACCGTCCCAACTCACCCCTGCCATCAAGTTCTTCCACCTCACCAGGACCCTCGATGGGGTTTCTGAGGCTATAAATCTCTACGGGAGCAAATAGCCTCACCTTTCTCCCACGGAGCGGCTGGTGGGTTTGAACCAGCCTCATGGTTAGCAGTTCAGCACTTATCCACCCACGCCCCTTCTGCACATCACCGCTGTGTCGTACTGGCACATTTTGAAAAGGAACCCTACAGCTCCTAGCTCTACGAGCTCTAGGGACTGGCAGCGATAGTAGTCACTCCCCGGGCCCTACTCCAGCCCTGGACAACCTTTAACCCACTCCCTCTCTCTGTGGGCCTACCCATCTGGCAGACTTCATATAAATGGACCCACATACGATGCAGCCTCTGTGTCTGGCGTCGTTCATCTAGCATGGTATTGCCAAGGTTCGCTGTGTTCTAGCATGTACCGGTACTTCGACCCTGACTCACATTCCCTTGTGTGGATACACACACTTTGCTTAGCTTGTTGGTGGACATCCGGGTGGGTTCTCCTTGGGGTTATTATAAACCATGCCCCTATGAGCCCTTGTGGACAAGTTTTTAGGTGGTTCCTAAATTTCACCTCTCTTGGTTATAGTTAGGACTCCAGTTGTTGGGCCTTACGGTAACCGTGCCTATAAATTCGTCTGACCTTCACTCAGTCCTGTGAATTAGATGGGCATGAATGTCCCGTGTTCCACATCAGGAAAGTACAAGCTAGAATCTTTGTGAGATCGGAAGGCCACCCAGGTGGTCAGCAGGGAGTCCAGAATATCTCATTCCGAAGTTTGTGACATCTCCACAAAAGCACACCGGAAACAACAGGGCATAATTGCCCCAGCGCCCCGCCCCAGCCATCTCTTTGGTTGTTCATCTCAGAACTCAAGGTATGGGACTAGAGACCGGAGTGAGAAAGGGGAGGCAAGCAGAGGAGTGTTGAGGGAAGAGGGCCTTCCTACCTTGATACTCTCGTTGATTCGATTCACGATCCAATTGAAGAGGCGGTTGTAGATGTTCTTGGCCAGAGCGTCCCGGGCATACTGAGCCTGCAGGACAGAACCAGGCTGGTCAGAGCGGGCAGCCATGGGACAGGCTCAAAAGCAGCCCCCTCTCATAGGCCCCCCTTACCTGGATGACATTCAAAGCTGTGACCACTTTTTCTTTGGCCGTTTCCATGGTCCTTGCACACAAAGCTCTCTCTAGTTCTTTTGAATTTAAACCCACCAGCTCCCCAATCTCCTGGATACCTAGAGTGGTGAGAAAATGCAATATGGCCCGAGAAGAGGCTCCTCCCACCTGACTTTGATCTGGGGAGCGAGGTGAGGCTGTTAAAGTGAGGTGCCCATGGGTCTCACTGGGGAGGGTCACAGCAGGCCACTGTGGGCATGGAGGACTCTGTGTGAGGAGAGAGAGATGGAAGCTCTGGGTGTGTTGCTGGCAGTGTCCGCTTTGATAGGAGAAACTCCTGAAACAGGCATCGTGGATCCCATTTTGTAGAAGAATCGACTGAGACGCAGAGAACCCCTAGAACCTAGAGCTATCAAACTTCCAAACTCCCTCTCGGGGAGTCTGTCTGGGGAGCACTCAGGAGCCGGTTGCGAGGGCCTGAATCATGCCCGAGAGTCCAGAAGAGTCCCCACAGCCTGAGGAAGCTCTGAGGCCTGGGCAGGGGTGCTGACCTGGCCCCTCACGGATGCCGCTTGCTGAGACCCCGTTGGCCTGGAACTCGCTGGCCAGCTCCACATTCCCCAGCTTCAGCACCAGGGCTGTCACCTCCAGCACCTGCCGAATCTCCTCCTCCGAGAATCCAATCACGGCCATGGCATTCTTAGGGGGAGGCAGAATCAGAAGCCGGACTAGAGGCGCCAGGCCAATGCGTCTCTTCGCCAAGCTGGGCTCGGGGACGGCCCGAGGGCCACCCCGCCCCGCACCCACCTGCACTGTCCTGAAGTTGGAGGCGTCATCCATGCCGCCCACCTCGGACACGTCTGCATTCAGATAGGCATAGCTGCTCGGGTCTCGCTCGAGCTTCAGGGCCTCTGGAAGGGCCAGCGTGGGGGAGAGAGGTCAGTGCCCAGACTCTCGGCAGCCTTCCCATCAGGGAGCTATGACCCCTGCCAGCCCTTGCCCTAGGATGGCTCCTTGACTTGTCCCAGGGCCCCATGGTGTGTTTTATGTCCTTTGGGAGATCCTGCCTTCCTGTGGCAATAGGTGACATTTTTAAGTGGTATGTGGGATTTTCATAGTTGATTTTTTTTTCCAATAGCGGCAGTTTCTTTTCTTTTCGTTTTTAACCATTATGATAGAAAATCCTCATTCTCCTTTCCTCTCCCGAGTCAACCAAAGGGTCTAAACAATCAAAACAAACATGAGAGTGCTCCATCCTGCTCGGGAGCCAGTGCCTGGGAGGACGGAAGGCGTGCAGCAGAGCAAGCCCAGCTCTCCCCACAGCCCAGCCTCAGCACCGAACCCTCGGCCTGGGTTGGCGCAGTCGCTAAGTGTTCACGAAGCCCCAGGGAGACAGTAGGCACTGTGTTCCCCACGCGGACCCTGACACCTGCCCTAGAAGGTCCTCTCTGGCACTGAGGAGCCAAGTGGCTCTCCTGTGCGCCCCCCCAACACCCCCCCCCACACCCCCGACCTCTGGTTCAGCATGCTGGACCTCTAGTTCAGCATATTATCACATGGGTTACGTGATGTCTGTGCCCATGTGGCCTACAGATGAGAGACTTGTGTGTTGGCCCTGGGTCTCCCATCTCTGTCTTTCAGGTGCCTGGCTGGCATCCAGAAACTTAAAATAGATAAGTGAACGAATGCATGAATCCAGGGGATGGCCAAAGTCGTTTCTCTAAGATGGAGAACACTGGGTTCATCCTCGGGCCTGAATGGGTATCAACTACGTTGTGCAAATGACCGCAACATCCAGGCGCTTCCTCAAACCAGAGCTTAACAGGAGCTCCCTGGTGACCCACACTGTGAAACCTGAGCGAGTCTGCAGGGGGATGAGTCAAGGCCCTGCAAGTAGTGCCCCCAGAAGCCTTAGTGGAGGAGACTCCGCTGAAACGCAGGGTGAAGAGGCCTCCGCTGACAGGGTCAGCCCGAGCAAGATCCTGTGCCAGCTAAGACCGTGAAGGCACGGGGGAGGCGACAGCTATGGGGGTTCATGAACCAAGGCGACTTGTCGGAGGGGAAAAGAGACAAGCCTGAGTCCAGCCCAGAATCATCAGAAACCCACGGGGCATGTTCACAGCAAAGTGACAGACTACAGGCCCACCAGACCCCGCAGTGACGTCCATCTCGAGCCGCCACGGGCCGGCCCAACATTCGGCCAGGCTGCCTGCAATGGGTTCACCCCTGAGACCAGGCAAGGGGCTCCCTCCCTCCTACTTCTTGTGCCGACTATCCAGGCCTGTTTGCCATCCTGCCACACCTCCTGTAACGTGTCCGACTCCAGAAGATGGCCGTTAGTGTCCGATCATATTCAGGTGCTCAAGAGACTGAATAAAATCCGTGAATGAACGGATTATCCACAGAACCAGTTAAGAAGAAGAAACTAGGAGCAGGCTCCTGGGCGTGGTGGCTAGAGACTGAGGCCCACTTCAACTGCAGCTCATCGAAAGTTCTGGAGCAGCCTCTCATTTCCTGCCGAACGAGCGATGAAGTCCCCCCAAACCCAAGCTCGAAACGCATGGTAGACGAAAATGACTGTTCCGCGTTTCTTTGTGTTTTGATTTGTTTGGGAGAAAGAGGAACCGGTAGGGACAGAGAAATAAAAGCGATGCCCAGGCAAGATGGCAGCTCTTTGGCAATAGAACCCCAGAAATGGGCTAAATAGAACACAGAGGTCAGAGGATTTGTTCCCAACCAGGGGTGAGCAAGGCTCAGGGTGGGGATTGAAGGCAAGGTCAAGTCTGGGGGGGCCCAGTGGGTCCAGGAGGTGCTGGGGGTTGAGTGGAGGTTGGGGAGGCTCCAGGCAGGCGCTTACTGAGCAGCTGTGTGTCTGCCCCGGCCAGCAGCTGATGGAAGATGTGGAAGTTCCTTTCCCCCTTCAGCTGCTTCACCACCCGGGATTTCTCCAGCAGATCTGTGGAGAGATTGGGAGTGGTATGTGGAGCAAACCTCCCTCTAATTCTACCCTCATCCTGCTCCCTCCTCCTGGCAGTCTGGGACTCCACCTTCCTACAGCAGCACTTCGGGGTGGTGGGGGGTTTGGGGGGCTTGGGGTTTGGGGGGGTGGGATGGGAGAGATCAGCTGCAAACAGGCAGGGGGAGATACATACAGTTCGTAACGACACCACCGAGGGGCACGCCCTTGAAGTCAAACTCGATGTCCATGTATTTTCCCTTCAAAGAGAGACCAGAGAAAGCCTTCATCCCCCTCCGCCTCTTCCTCTCAGGCTGGGCTCTGTGCTGCATGATTCACCCTCTCGAGTTCCTGCACACTCACTCCCCCACCATCACCACCACCCAATGGGGCGCCCCAGGGGAGGTGTTCACTCACAAATCGAGAGGAGTTGTTGTTGCGTATGGTCTTGGCATTGCCAAAGGCTGCAGAGAGTGGGGGGTGGGTGCATGAGGGGGTGCTGAGGGGAGAGGGGGGTCTCTAGAGGAGGGAGACCTCCCGGCTGGGCGGTCATTGCTCATGCTGGATGAGGCCAGTGGCTCTAGGAACCCCGGGGCAGGTGGGTCTAGGGCGGAGCCTCTGGGGTTGGGTGGGAGGGAGGGGAGGGCAGGGCCAAGAGCAGGGATTCTCACCCTCCAGCACCGGGTTTGACTGAAGCAGCTGCTCCTTCACAGAATTCACCTGCTCCCCTTTCCCACAGACAGCGGCCACATAGGACATCACCAGCTTACTAGCCTCTGCCCAGAAGAAGCCCTCAGTGTGGATCCCCTCCAGAGCTGTCATCCCCCCACCCCCGGTCATGGCCCCTCATTCCAGCACCACACACCCCTCAGCGACAGAAAAGCTGGGAAGGAATCCCTTTGGAGAACTAGACAGAAGTAGGCCTGGCGTGGAGGGACACAGAGCCCCCCCCACCCTCCCCACCCCCCGGGGGGCATTCTGCAGGTTCCTCACCGGTCTTGCCAGCTCCACTCTCGCCTGTGATGAGGATGCACTGGTCTCGGTCCTGGTCCCTCAGGGACTGGTACGCCACGTTGGCCAATGCATAGCTTAAGGGGAGGAGGTGGGCAATGACTGAGAGGGGACCAGTCCCCAGGATCCAGGCTCGTCCACCTTCCCCACTTGGGCCGGGCAGAGGCAAGAAGTGCCAGGCCTCGCAGGGGATTCAGAGAAGGAAGGGACAGCTGGAGAACCTCCCTCGGGGCAAAAAGAAGAGGGGAAAAATGAGGTCTCTCATAGTTACGAAGCTGGGCCCTGTCGTGCCTCCGGGCCTCCACTCACATGTGGGGCTTCAGCTCAAAGAAGGTACAGTCCCGGTATTTGTTAATAAACTCTGGGCCATAGATGGGCAGCTGCTGGTAGGGATTCACGGAGACCACCACGCTCCCGATGTAGGTCTGCAGCCAAGGAGGAAGGGGAAGGACTCAGCCCGGAAGCTGGGAGCGGGTTCAAGGGTGGGGCGTGGTGGAGGAGGAACAGGGGAGCCCTCTGGCCACACGCCTGGCCAGCAGGGTCCACACTGTACTCACATAAATCTCCTTGCTTTCAAAGCGAAGTTGGAGGTTCTTGAGCAGAGACTCCTGTGTCAGGGGTTCCAGGAGGATGAGGTCCTCCACCCCCACGGGATTGTCCAGGAGGGGCATGTCCACAGGGGCTACAGGTCCCAGGAGGGAGGAGGGAGGCCGTTGCTGCCGTCTGCTCAGCTTTAGGTCTCGATAACTGTTTGGGGACAAGAGAGCAAACAGACTTGAGAGAGATGTCCTCCCCCTCCGCTCTGGCTGCAGAGAGAGCCCCCATCTAGATGAGGCCTCTGGGCAAGCCCAAGCCGAACACGGGGTGCTGGAACTCTTGGCAGGATAGGAAGGAGTCAATCCCCTGCTCCCGGCCTCAGGGTCAGTGGGGTCAAGGCTAAGGGCCAGCTGCCCGTGACCACCAGGGCAAGGAAGGCACCCAGTGGGCAATGCCAGGGGAACACAATTGTGCTTGGGAGAGAAAGAGTTAAGGAGGAGATGCCAATCAAGCCATCTGGAGAAGGCTCTCCCTCCTGCCAGGGTCCGGGTCTCTGGGTCTTCTCAACCACCTACTTCCCACCCCTGTTTCAGCCACCACGCTGTCCATACCAATTGAGTTCTTCAAGGGGTCTCAGTTCCCCCTCTGGTGTCTACGAGTGGGGAATGGAGGCGGGGTGGGTTACAGAACAGGAGTTGCTCCATGGAAGACTGACCTTCCTCAGAGATGATGGATGTGTGTGGGGGTGGGAGGCTTTGTTTCTCCAACAAGCAAGTAGCTGTTGGGATCCTTAATGTGCTGCCGCCCCTGGCCCTTGGTTCTAGCTCTAGCTTGTGCACCATCCTTATAACCTGGGACAAACTTTGCCCCAGGGACACACCCCGCTTCTTAGTTGTGGGTGGGCAGGTGCAAGGAGGAGCAGAGCTGGCACTGCAGGCCACGCTGCGGGCTCTGCCCACGCAGTAGGCACCTGGCAGGTGTTCCCTGAGGAGGAAGTCCAACCCTCCTCGCAGGGCCCTGCGGTACGGAGTAGGTGAGGTGACTGGTCGCAGGACAGAATTACTAGTACAATGGTCAACGCCACTCCCCAACGGGAATCAAGAGCCACATCCTCCTGTTCCGCTGGCATCTCTGCCTCTGAACCTGGTAAAAGGAGGAGGAGGAGGAGGAGGAGGAGGAGGAAGCAGGAAGCAGGAATGCAAGGTAGGGTGAGAAGGTTCCCTTCTGCCTTCCCTCCGCTTTCTCTCCCCAGGAAAGGAAGACACTTGTCCCTTCCAGTAAGGACACAGCCGAGACAGCCACAATAGCTGGTAATAGCCATCCTAAGTGCAATCACGCAGCACTTACCATGAGCCGGGCACTGTGAGCACCACTTTACACATACTTTGGGATTCATTTGATGCTTACAATACCCCCATGAAGTAGGTGGCATTATCTTCCCCCATTTTCCAAATCGGGGGAAAGAAAAAAGATCCTAAATAAGTTTTTTAAGTAACTTAGCAGGGAAGAGTTAGAAGCAGAAGGGGGCTGGGAGAATAGCCCCTTTGGAGTTGGATTTGAGAAAAGTGGTTGTGGGTGGGGGAGGAGAGAACAGGCAGAGGCCACATCAGGCACCACAGGATGGGGGACGAGTTGCAGTGACAGGTGAAGGCAGGACTCACCCAGAACCGGAACCAGCGAGTGTCACTCCCGTGCCCACTAGGAGAATGGCGACGGAATCCCAATGTGACAGGCAGCGGGCATAGCAGTCCAGGCAGTCCCCCAAGGGCGGAGAGGCAACTTAGTGGGCGCTGTCCATGGTGTCGAGGAAGCCGGGAACAAGTGTGACCTCCTCCAGCCCGGGTCCCCTCTCCGACTCGTGCTGCCTGTGTCCGACCCGCAGGAGAGGCTGCCAAAGGCTGTTCAGCACAAAGTCCGAGCCTGTTCCGCTGAGGGTGTGGCTCGCTTAACCCTTGACAAGCCGGATGCCCCCGGCGGAGAGCGCAGCGACTTCTGGAGGCTGCTCTTGGTAGAAAGGTGTGGCTGACTGGTGTTATAGAGGGACTCAATCAGGGGAGGGTCCCATTGCCCCCCAGATTTGGAAGCGAGAGCAGAGAAATGGGAATTTAGAAGCAAGGGGCTTTTCCAAAGAGAAGTTAGGGATTTTGTCAAGAAAGGGTCCCTCCCTCCAACCTGCCCTGCTTATTTTCTTTGGGCCGCCTGTGGGGTGTTCATGAGATTCCTTGGGGAGCCAAGTGGAAGAAATGCCCAAATTCCTCTTCACTTCCCTCAAATCAGTTGGCTTTCCTTTTGTTTCGTTCCTTTAGGCTGTGAAGGGAGAAAATTGGACCCATCACAGATATCCGCGGACTGCCTGACGACCGTTAGTAATAATGCCCAGCGTTTGCCCGGCACAGCCATACATTCCCTCGAACTCCTTCCTGCACGCTCACTGACGCACCTCACCCTGTGAGGTAGGCAATGCAGGCATACCATGAAAAATGGACATTAGAGGCAACCTGCCAAGATTCAGAGGTTATGTGATGTGTGCCCCATACAACAGGAACAGAATGCAAGTCTCCCAACCCTAACCTCAATTCCATCATAGGGCCCAGGCCAAGGTCAGATGTCTCTCAGTTTAATCCTTCCTCAGTGTTGCTAAGACCCAGAGATGTCGTTTCCTGGCCATTGCTAGCTCAGCTGGAAGTAACTGCCTCAGATGGACAAGCAGCTTACATCGTCCTGTCTTCTAAGGTACCCCCCTTCTTCCATCAAGGAAGATTCCTGAGTAACAGGCTCCCACCACCCTTTTCCTCAGAGATGCACAATGTGCAAACCAGGTCATTACAGGCACTTAGGGGAAGGTACTGACTTGACTGTCCAACTCTCATTCACTGGCTGCTGGGTTCAAGGTTCAAGCTCAATAGCTCTTGCAGAAGCACTCTTCATCAGCCAGGCCCATCAGCATTTCCATTATCAACCTGCCTTTACATAATTTATTGGCTTACTATATATATTTGAAAGGGGGGGGGAGGCAAGGAAAAGAGACGGAGAAGCTGAGTCTCAGTGATATACCACGCCTACTACCCATGGAGGGGTGGGGCGTACCAACGTCAGAGACAGAAGTGACCAGGCATCCGTGTAAGGGCGATCAGACCTAAAGCAAAACATCTAGGAACCTGGCAGGGCTGAGGCCAGAACTCAGGTCGCCTGTTCTCCAGGGATCCACAGCCACATACCACCTGAGGTTTACCTGGGTCAACCCGTCGTCCCCTACTGAGTGCTTACTGTATGTTCAAATGAGGAAAGCAAAAAGACAAACTCACTACCATCAAGTCAGTGCCAACCCATAGTGATCCTACAGGATAGGGTAGAACTGCCCCTGTGAGTTTCCAAAACTGGATGTTAATGGCATAATGCCCTGCCTTTCTCCCGAGAAGTAGCTGGTAGTTTCGAACTGCTGACTGCGGATCGCAGCCAAACACATCACCACCCCACCCCACCCCCGGGGTTCCCCTACATGAGAGGCTAGCCTGGGATAATCTTCAAACCTTAAACCAAAACTAGTCTTTGAAGTGTTGTTTTTTGTTCTGTTTTTTTAATTTTTTGAAGTCTTCTTAAAATTAAACAATAGTTTATTTAGCTTAGCTAGTCAAAATGGTCTGCCCTTCAGAGATTTGATAAGTTGTTTGGGTTGTTCAATCTAAAAAAATGATCTAAAATGTAAACCCTCACCCAATTAATTCACAATAAATAAGGTTAAAAGCACAATGCCTTGCGCTATCTCTGGGAGAGCAAACTGACTGGCACTGAGGGGGCAGTGGGTTTCTGTGAACCAGGGCAAGCAGGAAAGGAGGGCGAGAACGGTAGCACAACGGCAGGAACGTCATCAGTGCCCCTACACTGGACGTGTCGTGTTGAATTGGTGTCTGTCGTGTGTGTATAGTCTCAACATCAAAACGACATGCAAAGAAAAATCTATGGCAACCTCAGGCTTACAGTGGCATGCACAGACTCCACAGTCAGTGCGGCCAACTGCTTGGGTTGGTGTGGGGCTCAGGTGGGTTAAAGCTAGAGAAATGTCTAGAAGACCTTCATCACAATAAGGAACAGGACGCATACCTAGATCAGCGGAGACTTGAAGATCTGTCCAAGCTTACCAGGGATGGGGAGGAAGCGGGGCAGTGGGGAGGCAGCCCTGGGATGGGCTTCTGAGACACACTGAAGAGCTTACTGGTTTCCCTCTACTCCATCCGGCCCCTAGATCCCCCCTCCCTTTTCCCCTGGCCCACAGAATGGAGTCGAGGAAACTTTGAGGGGGATGGCAGTGTTCATCAGGATAACGGTGGGGGAGGTGACCACGTCAACCAGACTTGGCACAGCCGGATGCCAAAATGTGCACATTTTGTTGTGCATCCATCGTACTTCAACAAAGCCGACCAAAGGGAATTCCGCTATTTTTTATTTCTGACAGGGATTTGTTGGAGGTTGTCAACTCACGGTGGCCCCCAGGCCCAGCACACAACCCTGCTCGTCCTGTCCTGCGCTGTTCACATGGTCCCATCCGTTCCAGAGCAGGCCACCGGGACCCATGGGGTTTCCAATGGCTGCTTTGGGGAAGTAGACTGTCGGGTCTCTATGACTAGCCTATTTTGATCCAGAAGCTCTGATGCAGTCTATCCGGTGTCCCAGCAGCATTACTGGCAGACTGCCTCCACTGGGTGATGGGTTGGATCATGAGGTGGCATTGCCTGAAAATGGTGCCATGTTGGGAGGGCAGTAATCTGACTCAAGGGCTTCACACTCATCCACCCACCCTCCCAGAGTACTCACTGATTCAAAGGCTGTGTACAATAAAAGTAACAGCTCTCAGATGATGGAGGGGAAGGAATTTGGTGGTAAAGGGTCTTCTCAGCATTTATAAATTGTTAGCTAGTTACAAAGACCAGGTGTTCATTATGTGTCAGGCACCAAGCTAAGTGCCTTACATCCTGGCTATTCGGTGAGGTCAACAATTCACCTGGGAACTTATTAAAAAGCAGAACCTGAACCCCCACCTCAAACCTACTGAAGAGTCTCCGTGTGAGCAACACTGGCAGAGATCTCTACGCACACTTCAAGACTCTTCCGTGCCCCATCTCCTAAATCCCCACAAAAGCCCATGAATGACCACCCACTTCCCAGTTATATCAAAGGAAAAGATGTCCTTACTATGTTATCTACATAAATTTACATAGCCATTGTTTTTTTCTCCTCCCTGGCATTCCATCTTTTTTTTTTTT